ATTGTACCTAACTCATTACTTCCAAAATTTAGGGTTTCGTTTTATTTTCTATTCGTGTGATTAATAGTGGAAGAAAAGTATCAATGAATGTGTTGAACTCCTTCCAGTTAACGTCTGTGTTGTTAAAAGCTGGAAGGAGGTCTGATATCGGATGTGGTAAGTTTGAATGAGGTGTAAATGAAACAGGGAAGTGATCGCTAGAAATTTCGGGGTGAACTTTAAAATTTAGGTAACTACGCTGACCAACTTACACTAGCCATAACGAAAGCTACAGAAAAAGTAATCCCCACAACCTCTAGAGGCTAATCCCCCAGTAGCACAGCGGTATGTTTGCGGACTTACAACGCTAGAATCCAGGTTTCGATATCCGTGGTGGGAAGAGCACAAATAGCCCATTGTGTATCTTTGTGCTTAACTTCAAATTAACAAATAATCTAGAGGCTATCATAGCAATCAGTGGAAACTCACGAGGGAAATACATTCATTTATATTAGAACGTAGACGCCTTAGACGATTACTGATAACTACACGGAATACTTCCCTAAAACCTAAAATTAATAAAATACACTCACAAATAAAACGAAACATAAAAATACTTAAAGAAACAAACTGGTTAGACTTTTGTTGCAATAGCTTTGATAACGCACAAGATAATTCTGAAACTTTTAGGGAAAAAAGTCAAATCACTAACTTATGAGAAAAGAAAAAAAAACATGTTCCACCATATTAAATACAACAACATTACAGCTAAAACTGACTTAGAGAAAGCGAATCTTTTAGCGGATTACTTCCAGGAATTCTTTAATGACCTAAATTCCCCAAGCTATCACCAGAATAACCGCAAAAGAGTTGACAAACATGTTAAGAAACATTCAAAGGTTTCCAGCTAATAATTTAAACACCGATACAATTGTCGGCAGCGACGACATTCTAAATCGAAAAGTCTCTATAGGTGAACTAAAGACCAGTCAGTATAAAAACATTAAAACTCATCCCCCGGACATGACGGTATCACAAACATTATTCTTAAAAAACATCAGCTATTATGCTTAATCATTTAATTAATTTCTTAAATCTATCACTATTAATATGCTACTTTCCAGGTACATGGAAAAGAGCAGTTATCACAGTTATTCACAAAACACAGGCAGCCAATAGCTCTAACTCTGACAATTTCAGACCAATTAGTTTACTAGTAAACATGTAAACTAGTTGAAGGAATTATAGCGGAAAAACTCTTGTACTTCTACGAAGAAAATAACCTTCTTTCAAACATACAAAACTCTTCTCCCAAAAACTATAGATTATTTAACATGGCTCACGGAATCGGTTTTTAAATCATTCAACAATAATCAAGCCATTATTGGAGTTTTTCTTGATGTTTCGGAAAGCTTTTGACAGTGTGTGGTCTAATGCCATTAGATATGGACTTAAATCAGTGTTAACTCACTGACTGCACTGCAGTTATTAAAATAAATAATACATTGTCAACAACAATAAATATCACAGCAGGAGTTCCTCACGAATCAGTTCTCTCGCCATTCCTTTACCTCATATTTATAAATAACACACCTTTCCAATACCTCATATATATACATATATATATATATATATATTTCCAATACGCTTATGACATTACTCTTTGGAGTGTATCAAGAAGCCCGTTACTAGCAGCGAAACGCGTTCAAAAATCACTTAACACAATCAATGATTGGTGGGTTATGCTGAAACCCCTTAAAACTCTAGGTATAATATTTCAAAAAAGCTTAAATAAGCATTTTAAAAATTCTAAAAAGTAAAACTAAAATTAGGTAATGAAGAAATCAAATTTTGCTTTAAAGCCAAATTTCTTGGTGTTACATTCGACAAATGACTCGCATGGTCAGAGCATATGAAGAAAACACACGAAATCATCAGTATAAGTATCAATCACCTCAGACTTATAGCTGTCAAAAATAATAAAGGATGTAAAGCTAACACTATTTTAAAACTCTACAAAATGTATATTCGACCCATCATTGAATACGGCTGCCAAGTCACTATAAATATGTCAGATAACACAAACAAAAAGTACAATATCAACAGAATAGAGTATTAAATTAGCCCTAGGGCTTCCAAGTTACATCCCCGTTAGCTATATACACAAAGCAAGTAAAATACCACTGCTTAAAGACATGCTAGATGCATTGGCTCAAAATTATTTAAAAAAGCAGAAACAAGAAACACATTAACGTCTGCCTTTCACAGCATTACATGTGCCCCACACAAAACAATACCCCCCATACAATATGGACCACAGCCAAACATAGAATATGCACACACTATGAACTTCGTTTAGTTTTTTTATTTTTAATAACTAATCCCATGTTTTTGTCTTACAGCTTTGGCACAGGACAGGCGGATTATTCGACGCCTGTCCTGTGAAAGTAATTTTTCTCGGGGCACTCCCGTTTCCCCCTACAACAATTTCCACGGCATTGGATATTTTTACCACAGCCAAGGCATTGAATTTATAGATCTCCCACCAACTTGTGACCATGACTACGGGCCGTCAAAGTTGTCGAAATCTGGGATGTCGGCCTTGACCTTCTGCTTCGCCATCTCTGCCTTCACCAATTCCCAGTGGAAAATTTATATCAGAACTTAAATGATCCTAATACAGTTATTAAAAGCCCACTTTAATTAAACTTAATCTCCACCAGCGGGGCGAAGGGGATATTAATATCCTTGAACACCCCAATTTAGTAAAGTTTCTTTCCTTTTAAAACTAAATATCTGTCACGATTTTTTAAAAATCAAACATCGGTACAGCACTCGAGCTATTACAAACATTCTCCAGTACAGGGAACATGATCTTCAGATGTAGTCGTGTTAATGGTCGGAAATATTAATACTCTTCTAATTGATATATACATATAGTTTAGGTTCTGGAAGTGCATACTTTAAAAAGGTGTTAAAATTAGGGAGTACTTTCATTTCGGATACTATTAAAATGTTTTCAGAGAAAAACATTTTTGATAATATTGAATTTTAGTACGTTTCTGTTCTGTAAAATGAAATTGTCCCCATTTCTTTCTATCCATCCTCAACTGTCGAGTGTGAAAGTCTGAACAATAACATACACGTTTAAAAGCCTTCGGATGACAAAACGAAAAGAATTGAAATGCGGTAACTTACGAAGAAACAATATTTCTGGAATGAGTTTACGTTACATTTTTGTGTAGTTTTTAGAGCTCATGAAAAGGAATGTTATAAATTGTTCTTGACTGAATTGAGTTTGTGATGGTAATAATAGAGACTAAAGTAGATAATACAGTAATTATGAGGTTTTTGAATCCATATAAATATTATATAAAGATCGCCATTATAGGAGGCCTAACTGTATTTCTTTGATTTTCTGACCTGGGTTGACGAGCCTTGCATATGCGAAAGTGCAGTCTACAGCAGAGGGAGTGGCTAATAAAAGAATGTATCAGGCCTTACATCACAGATTATAATTTTAGTTTTATCTTTAGTGAAAAGAAGTCTGTCATGTAATAGATAATACAGTTTTCACTTTCGTAAAATTGTAGGCAGGTAGTTTTAAGTTATCAGCTTAATTCTCACAGTAATTATCAAATGTTATTTATCACTTGTCATAACTTTCTTCAACGTTTATAATTCAATATTTAGGGGTTTCTGAAGGAATATGGAAGAATGAAAATTGTTTAAAAAAATGAAATTTATAATTTTCGTCATTATTAATTTGTTTCCACTGCAAAATAACAACTTCTCTACCATAACACGGGACCTTTAAACATTTTCAATTTCTTTAGGCTCTTTCTATTTGATGTAGAACACCATAACCCTTACCATACTATAAAAATTAAATTTATAATGTTTTTATAACACTACAGTTTTTGTTTTTGAATTTCGAAGACGTCCTACATAGTACAAATTCTCATTTAAATTATAATAAATAATTCTATTGTTTTATTGTCAGATATATCATGTGTTTTATACACGTATCAACAGAGTATTGAACACGCTCATACAAAACGATTTTGTTTGTTTCTTGGTAAGAACGATGATTCAATATGGGCTATATGTACTCTGCCCGTCGCGGGTATTCTTGCCGATTTCTAGTGTTATAAACCCTCAGAGGGGAAATAAATAATGAATATAAATATTAAATCTATAATGTTTTTGTTGAATTGTACAGTTAATACTTTGTTTCTTTTTCTAGCAATTAAAAAAAGGTTTGGTTTAAATTTCGCGCAAAGCTACATTATGGCTATCTGCGCTAGCCGTCTAGACTAGAGGGATTGTTTGTTTGTTTTTGAATTTCACGCAAAGCCACACGAGGGCTATATGCGCTAGCCGTCCCTAATTTAGCAGTATAAGACTAGAGGGAAGGCAGCTAGTCATCACCAACTTTGGGGCTACTCTTTTACCAATGAATAGTGGGATTGACCGTCACATTATAACGATCCCAAGGCTGAAAGAGCGAGCATGTTTGGTGAGATGGGGATTCGAACTTGCAACCCTCAGATTGCAAGTTAAGCGCCCCTAACCACGCCGGACCCTTTAAAAGAAGGGTTGTTATATATTTTTTATATGGTATACGAAATGACTGAATGTAAAAATTAGTTCATTTATCAACTAGGTAAGATTCAATAAGTAAATTCTTTAATCTAAAGAATAATAATTAATCGAAGGCTTATGGTTTCTCATACTTCATGAAAATATAATGTATTCCTTGTAAAATCTCATATAATCAAAAAGAACTTAAGCACAATACTTCTAATTTGCTTATGTAACTCAAGTATCTATGTTATTTGGAATTGCAATATCTATTCATGAGCATTTGAATGACTACTTGTGGTTGCGTTACCTAACCGATGTAATGTATGTTGAAACCACCACTTTATGTTAATTAGATAATAATAATATTTAAGACCACACCATGAAGAAAGTGCACATTTAATAATGTTGAGTTATATTTTTTTTTTCTTTTCCAGTTAGTTGGCTTGTTAGTTGGCAGCAATCAGACTATTGGTGGACAAACTGCCAGTGCAGTACTCCAAGCAATCTCAGCGGGAACATTTATCCATGTGACGTTTTTGGAAGTGATTCCATCAGAACTTAAAGATGGTGGCCATCGACTGCTAAAAGTTTTTTTTCTGTTTATTGGTTTTTTGTTATTATTAATTTGTTCAATATTACTAAATGAAGGTGCTGGCCACATACACTAAAATGCCGGTAGCTTATTTATACATTTTGTTTTAAACAGATTATCATGTTATTTTTCACTAATCTCCTCTGTTAGGGAGTCAAGCAGGCATGTTTAAATAGGCAATATCGAGTGTAATATTAATTTGTTTGTAGTTAAGCACAAGGGGCTATCTGTGCTCTGCCCACCACGAGTATCGAAACCCGGTTTCTAGCGTTGTAGGTCCGCAGACATACCGCTGTGTCACTGATTTCATACAAATACTCTTGATTTTTGTCAAAGTGCTTGGTATTTAGTAAAACGTGGAGATACACAATATACACTTTGGAGTTAACATGATTTTGTCTTTCAAACAACTTGTGTAGGTTTACATAGCTCCACGAGTTCTTTAATAGAAAAGATGAAACTGTAATGTTGAATACTATTAAACAAGTATATCAAACCAAAACATGATTTCTCGGTCAGTTACTCTTATTTGAACTTCACTATCTTAAATAATTAAAGAAAAGCCAAATATATTGATATAAGTCGTATCATGTGATGTACACTGGAAGCTGAATTTGACTTTCGGATTAAATGTGTATGTTAGTGGTTGTCTCCATGCGAGTTGTAAGAGTAAACTGTAAATTGAGACTCATGCTGCAGTAGGAGTGTAGTGCCATTATATTCATAGTTTTCAAAATTTACGAGTTGTAGCCTCGTGACATATGAAAAAACAACAACAAGAAACAACAACAGGTGTTTGACTTTGTCTAACTTCAACAACATCACAAGAGATTAGCCAGTCATTTATTAAAAACAAGGTATTGACGGACATCAATTTTTGGTAACAATTTTTGGTAATTTTAACATAATCCATTTACATGAAACAACAACTGAGTACCTACGCCATCTCTTGAAGCAGAGGGATTCTTCTACCTTACAATAGCATTCAAAACTGCGTGCAAATATCAGGTTAAACTAGAAACAATATCTGCAGACAGGTGGATACATTAAGGGAAAGACAAAAGCGGCATTTGGTGAACATACTAGGTAACGTTGACTAAGATTCACGTAACGATTAGTTTTATGTTTATAATTTTATATAGGGAGCCACAGACGTGAAAGATACAAATAACTTTAGAACATAATTATACTTGTATTCGCACCATATAGATTACATAATTCTACTCATCATCTTTTTTTTTTTAAGAAATTGGAAATGTTCCTTGAGGCAGCTTTTTTTGGCTTCTTTGGAACCATGGATGAAACAAACTATGGAACGTTGACATTATTAACATGTAGATGCGGGAAGAACTTGATGACCAACAGACCACGCCACTGTCTTCCTCCCTTCCTCCGGATCTGGTCTTGAATGCCCATTTTGTTCATTGTTGCTGGAATCGATACTCCCATTACCTGAGACTAAAGGCAATATATCAGATTAAAACCAATTTTAAAGACCGGAATTAGTAAGATATTATTTAAATTATTCTCAGGTTAATTTCAACTATCTGAGGCTTAACACAAGAAATAGGGTGTTGAAGTATTTGCAACTGACATTTTCTAATCTGAGACTAACATCAAATAAAATAAAGGCTATTCAGATGATACTGTTTCAGCCGAGACTGAAACAAAACAAAGAATAACTATTCAGCTGAGATAACAAACATGAATAAGATTTATTCAAATGGAAGTATTTATCAAATGAACTATGCCGCACGAAATGTTTCCATTATTTTTAGCTCATAGAATGGTTCCGAGTTTTTTGAAGTACAAACTTTAATTCGGCTTGACCGATTTGAGGTCGAATTACAGCTGCAGCTATTCAGGATTCCCGCTTATTAACTTTCTAATTGGTAACACGTAATTTTTGTATTTTTTTTTAATTTCGCGCAAAGCTACACGAGGGCTATCTACGCTAGCCGTCCCTAATTTAACAGTGTAAGACTAGAGGGAAGGCAGCTAGTTATTACCACCCACCGCCAACTCTTGGGCTACTCTTTTACCAACGAATAGTGGGATTCATCGTAACATTTTAACGCTCCCACGGTTGAAAGGGCGAGCATGTTTGGTGGGACGGGGATTCGGACCCGCGACTAATTGCGATCCGAGCGCCCTAACCACCTGACCATGCCGGTCCGATTTTGTAATTGAAAGATAAAATTCCGTAAAAAAACTAGTAAATTACTACAGTAATTTAAATACTTCCTAAAGTATTATAATACAGATCAAATTATAAAAACATTTACATTTCTTGCAATAACCCGGTGACCTTAAAAAAGTACTTGTGTTACTGGACAATTTTTTATGTAGAAAACATATCTTACCCTGGACTTGCTCAACCTTTTCCCATCTTAAAACAAGTTTTAAAAATAAGCACCTTTTCCATGCCTCTCTTTACTTACCAAACATCATAAAGCAAAATAAAAAAAGACAGTTGTGGGAAGGCGGTTACCTTTAAATTTCTTAAAGTAGAAATGAATTGAAATATAGCCACCCTAATATTTCTACTAATTAAACTCCCAACCTCCACCGTTACAAAACATATTAAATAGAACTATAAAATATTACATAGAACTAACTAGAACTATAAGATATTAAACAGAACTATAAGATATTAAATAGAACTATAAGATATTAAACAGAACTATAAGATATTAAATAGAACTATAAGATATTAAACAGAACTATAAGATATTAAACAGAACTATAAGATATTAAACAGAACTATAAGATATTAAACAGAACTATAAGATATTGAATAGAACTAAATAGGACTATAAGATATTAAATAGAACTATACACCCTATTATAAAAGTTCTTATATAGTTCTATATCCCAACCTCCTCCCTTTCTCCTGAAGATTTATTCAAGTATACCACGGGAATCCCGAGAGAAGCCCAACTACTTGAAGTTAGTCTTTCCGTCCCAGTTATACTGAAGAAAATTACTTGAAAAATTATTATTAGCTATTTATAAGATAAAATAGCTAACTCCCTCTATATTTTATTTATAAGATATTTTCCTTAAAATGATACACGGAATAACACTATTAGGTGTGTGTAGACCAAGAATGGGAAAATTAAATTATCTTCTTTAATCAAAAACAGTCAACCACTCTGTACCTTCTATAAAAGTAATGTCCAAATCTAAATAATTAGCATGGACCTCATTATTTTATTATTATTTTTTCTGTTGTAAGTTCTGTTGGATATATTAGGTTTGGTGTAAAATTCATATTATTTATAGATATTAAATCGTTTATGTAACGAAAAGTGTAAATTGTAAAGTGTATAAGTTAGGATTTAAAGTCTGCTTCATAAATGAGCAGATATTGGTTAGTCATATTTGAAGAGAAGTTTGTTCCCATTGGAATACTCACCATTTGCTTATATACTTGTTCGTTAAAAACAATATAACTGTTATAAATACAGAAATGGTGTATATATTTTAACTGAATTTCAGTAAATATAAATTTGGGTATAGATATTTCATTATTTATAAAGTTATCAAACAAATCATTGAAAACCCTGATTAAATCTTTCAGGTCTATTTTAGTACACAATGTAGTAAAGTCATATGTAAAAATAGAACTGGCAGTTTTGAATAATTTAAGTTATTTAAACATCCAGAAAAATAATGTTATCACTAATTTAAACTGGCAATAGACAGTGAAAGGCAGTAGAAGCTGAGACATTGGGGGTATAAGCACTCAGCTTTGTACACTTATTTGATTGATTTTTTTATGATTTTCCATGACGGCTGACTAGATGACATTGGTGTTTGGATTTTGTCTGATAGATGGGATATCCTCATTATCCGTTATGACAATAAGTTGACAACCAGGACCTATAACAGTATTCCAATATTTAATTCATTATTGTTTTATAGTGCTGATTTAATCACTTAT